TTTCTTCCTAACTGCAGTGTATGAAGAGAGCACTTCTAGTGGCATTTTGAAATAATATTTGCCAAGGACATGTGATAAGAAAATTATGATATGAAAAACTCTATAAACTTTGGGGAGAAAAAAAGCCCTGCAGAAGTGACTGGGCATCTTCCTGGCTCCTCCAATTTTCATGCATATGAATAGTTCCTTAAATGCAATGATACTATGTACATGGATAAAGATGTCAGGGTTTGGTTAATACAACCCCTGTACACGGTGATTCAGTGTCATATCACTCTAGAGAGTAATTCAGTGTGGCACAAAATCCTGCCAGCATGTTCTGGCTGTCAAAGCACGCTCTGTGCACAAGGTACGTGCTGCAATTTGTTTTGCTTTATTTTGGCCATCTAAATGTCACGGTGTCTAACTGAAGCTAAATGTCATGGCTTTCCCCATAACTGAGAGACAGGTCCAGGCACTACCCTAGGATTGTTTCTCCTCTTGGACTTTTTTGCTGTGTGTGACTTCTGCAAAGCAGAGGTACGTTTTCATTGCGCATCTCAGAACCTCTTTGCAGAAAAGATACTGAGTTCTAGACATCATGGTTAGGAGGGTGAACAACTGCATTTTATTAGACTAACAGTGTATTTGGGCAAAGCAGAGGAGCTTTACAGCTATTAAGTCTTTTTTCAAACAAAACCAGAACTTTTCAGCTATTGGCTGCATTTGCTGTGGGAACAACTTCAAACAAATATGTGATTTGAGCTGGTCAATGTTTATAATGAAGGAATGGCTTTCATTTCAAAACCAAACTCATTTAACACATATTAAACAAAAATGAAAATAAAAGTATTTAGGCTGGTTTTTTTTACCCTTTCCATTTTCCTCTTTTGCTCAATTCTTTTAAATAACTGAAAATCTTTTCCCCTTTCCCTTGAATTTATTTAAGTAGGCCTTTTTTTACTAGAGGCAAAATATATTACAAAATATTTGGATAAAAGAGTTGGATAAAAGGCTAAATCCACGCTCTTATGACCTTATATTAGTGCTAATAATAGGGTATGTGTTTAAGAATCCATCATCCAAAATGTGATCTTCAATGAATTCTTCTCTGCTACATTCTAACTCTTAAAGACACTTACATTTCAGAAGCCTTGAACTTTTGTTTTCCACGGTTACCTAAATTTTAATTGGCAATTATGTGCCAGTAGTCCTAAAGTAGTCCGGTCTAAATGGGACCACATAGCTTGATGTCTGATTGATCCTAAAACATGTTCATGATCTAGACATTAAATAGGAGTGGCTCAGTGGAGGCTCTACAGCTGTGTGCTGCTCCCAGACTAGCATATCATATGTGATCACTTTTGGGACTGGGCTCACAGGGGGTTAGCTGACTGACACAGGTCACGCTTGCTAGAGGAATCAAGATGTACAGGTACTCTTTTAATTAAGAGTTGGAGTTTTTTTCTTTCTAATACCTTCCTAATGAGTGATCAGGGCTTACAAGATAAGATTGTTTTTTTAAACAAGATATTTTAATGTCATCCTCCATAAACAGTCCTAGAAATCATATGAAGATTCAAATTGATAGTCCTTTCTTGTGTGTATGAATGGAGGTACTGTAAGCTTGGAAGCAGAGGTATTCCCTCACAGCAGGCTGAGTTATGATACTGTTATTGCCAGAGACGTAGCCTTTACACTGTCTAAATTCTCCAAAATCTTAAATATAGTTGTCTGAAGTCTGAAGATCCAATAATTCAAATATCTTCAATTCAGTAGCTGGAGAAATGTGAGGCAATGCAGTCATCTGGGCTCAGCATTTGACTTGTTTGGGACCTTTGGAGCAGACAGTCTGAAGGGAAGATGAGTAACTCCTTTGCTCTTTACCTGCTGATATTAAGCAACGCTTAAGACTATCATTTTATAACATCATTACAAGATTTTTGAAGACATGAAAGATTTCTGGCAAACAGTTAAATTTTGGCACTGTCACACTGAGAAATATGTCTTTGCTGAAAGTAATTAACTTATTGTTACCAGTTTTCATGCCCAAAAGCTCTTACTCCTTCTCCAGTTTCTGTGCGTGAGGACTGGGGCTGAGCCCAGGGGGAAATTAGGTACAGACACATTAGGAGACTGAAGGATATTATGATGCCAATATACTCAGGATGTTGCCATGCTCAGCTGTAGCTCCCTGTGCTGTGGAGAGTCTCGGTTTTATTGCTTATAGATTACGTTAATCAAAATGAACACCAGCAAATCTTTGGGCTCCTTTCATGACAGTTAATATCTGCAGAGCCCACAAGGCTATCTTGGAGATAGATTTGCCTGGGAGTGCACAGCTCTGTTGCTGACTTAAGAAATCTGCTCTTCTGGTTGAGGATGGTGCCACTGTGCACAGAAACTGCTGCTGCAGTGGGCTGAAATGCAAGTAATTTACTCATGTGCCATGCAATTGCTTTACAAAAAATTAAAAGTGTTAATTATATCAGTACCAAGAGGAAATGTTGTGGTTTGGGTTTTTTTCTTAGTTCTTCCTGATGCTTGATTAAATAACCAGTAAGCTGAAAATTTCACTTGGAGCCAGATCTTGAGCACAGACCCATTGATGTTAACATATGTATCCTAATTGATACCCCTTGAAGCTCTGTTGACGATTCATATGTTTCTGCTACATTTTTGGGGTTTTTTTAAACTTCTCTTTTGCTTTAGCATAAACATATAAACACTAGAAATAAATGCATACTTACTGTGTTTTAACTGGAAGCAAATCCTTAGACCTGAAATCCATCTCTGCTCTATTCATCCTTGTATACCCTCCCACTGACTAGGGAATTTTCATTCCATCTGATTCTCACCGCTGCTAAAATGAATAACTCTAACTACTCCTTTGCATTCAGACTGTCTGGTAACACTGAGCAGCCTTGCATGATGTAGAGAATTGCAGGTGGAATGACAACTACCAGTCTGATGCCACACACTGTGGGCATGCTCATCAAAGCCTAATTTACATCTCTTCCTTTTACTTACTTTGAGTGATTTTTATTATTTTAAAAAACAGTTCTCTGTGTTTCAGCATGTTTTGTATAAACATTGTACAGAAGTGTCGCTACTACCATTTAAAAGAGGGGGAAATGAAGCACAAAATGAATAGATTTAAGGAAAATGGAGCGTGGTTCTTTCCAGGAGGTGCTACCACGTGGCATTCATCCCATGAACATCGATTGTGGGTAGATAATGCCATCCCTTCCCAATGAGGGGTGAAGAATAGCTGATGCTATTTCACAAGTGCCCTAAACATGAAGGCCTATGAGAGCAATTGAGGAAAAAGGCAGCAATAAGTACTTCTTGAGCATGCAACAGTTTGAATGAGGGACTGACAGTCTTTCACTTCAGATAACAGAGAGTTGTCATTAAAAAGAACATCTTTATTACTGACAGAAATAATTTCAGTTATTTCTTGAGAATACTGTGCATTTTAAAAGTGCTTTAGTTTCAATGCCATTGTGAAGGTAATCTCTTTAAAAAAAATATGATTGCAAAGTAGTTAGTGTGGAATTAAGGGCTATCCAGCCAATTCTACCAGTACTGTTTCAGTGAAATGTGTATGGGATGCCAATTTCTTTTCAGTGAATAGAAATCTGTTCATGTTGTCATGAGCTTAAATGAATATAGTGTCGGATCTAAAATTCAGGAGCATGGATAGACTCATCAGGAAGGGTTGCAATCCACGTGCGGAGAGTATGAAAGCTTTAAAAATATGTGTGTGGATACAGCCCACCTGAATCTCTGTTTCAGGTGGCAGTTCCTGAATACCAATGAATGTCCTGGCCTAGCAGAGTAAGCACTGAGGCAGGAGTAAGCACTGGGTTTGGAGTTACTGCTTATATTGTCTTGGATTAGTCAGTTCATGTTTTATCTGAAGTGCTGATGTTATTAATAGCATGAAATAATGATATTTAAATTCCTACAGTCATAACTGTTGATTGTAGTTGACAGGAAAATAGCTATTCTGGTTGGTATTTGTCTTGAATAAAATTTTGATTTGTTTCCACAAAGATTCAAAAAACTAGCATTTTGCTCAAACTTCAAGTGTTTTGATTAGAAAGAGGTCTGCTTGCACCCCTGGGACTGCCACTGAGGGCTGTATTCCTTGTCCTGTGTCGTGTGCAGGGCTCACTAACTTGGCAATGGGGGAAGGCACTTGCTTTAGCATTTGCATTGCATTTCAGACTCTGACTGCTGGGCTATGCATATCACCAAAGGGAGGTATAAGGCATTACTGAGAAGACTTATAAAGGCTTAAAACCCAAGCTGGCCAAAGTACGAGTCCTTATGCTATAAATGATTTTGCAAGCAGTGTACAGTTCTGAACTTCTCAGAAAAAAAAAAAAAAGCCTACTGCTACTACTAAGATCAAAAGTTACCTGGAAGACAACATGGAAAAGAAATCAAGCTTTGATTTAGGCTTAACTAATAGACAAATTGAGAAAACCAATTGTTCCCTGTCTCGTTTTCTTCCCTTGGTCTGTAATCTATCAGGTCATGTGAAGAAGATGGGTGGACTGACAGGAGTGAGCCAATCTCTGGAAGCTATTTGTTGATCCCCACTGTATTACATCCCCACATCAACGTTTTGTAGTGATGACTGAAACAGGGAGAGTGTGTCTGAGGCTGTGCCTGCCATGGCCTGTACGCTGGCCCAACCTCTAGGACTCTGCTTACCTGTATTGTCCCTCTTCCATGTCCTATCCCTTCCCTGGTCCCTGGGTGCAGGGAGGGAGGGAGGGAGGGAGGGAGGGAGGGAGGCAGGCAGGCAGGAAGGAAGGAAGGAAGGAAGGAAAAGAAAGAGAAGAACTAAAAGAGAAAAAGCTCAGATATCTTTAGCAACAGCACAACCAGAGAGGCAGAAAATGGAGTTCTCTACATAGTGCTCCTCTAGTCTGAGATTTACCAGGTCTAGACAAGAACTGAGCATATCTGTTAATTTTTTGTCTGCTCTCATTTTGTCTTTTGGGAAGCAAAAGCAGCCTCAAAGAGCAGCAACAATTCCAGCTCCTCTCTTTTCCCCAAAGAAACAGCTAAATACTTTAATGTCCTTAAAAAGACTGACAAATAAATGCATTTTTCATTTAACAAAATTCCTCTCTACAGGTAAAGGAAAAGAGGTAAACAGCATTGTTAAATTTAATTTCACTTTGGCTTTTGCTTTTCAAATGCTTTAACAGTTTTCTTCTCCTCCTTTATATCTTTAAGAGAGGGTTAAAAAGATTTACTGGAGGCTGTTGCTATGGTGCTCCTATCAAGGTGTCTGAATTCGTTTCTCTGAACCTTGCTTAGTGCTTGTACATGTTTACAGCTTTGTATGTCTGGATCTGTTTGCTCTATCAAAATTAACACAGTGCACCCCAGCTGGTAGAGATTGTGTGCTTGTTTTCGCCTTGAGAAGATGCGGAATAAATGCAATGTGAAAGAAAGGTCTGCGGGCCTTTCTATAATAATTCTCAAGTGTTTTTGTAAACTCAGAATATGCATGTATGGAGAGACATGAGAGATGCTGTACTTAGCAATGTTTGCAAATCAGGGGACACATTATTTAGGTTATTTTAATAGCTTTTCAAAATATGACAACTGAACGGGCAGTCGTTGCCAGCTGACATTAAGAGGTATTCCTGGATGATGTCATCATTGGAACTTTTTAGTAGGGGAATGAAAAAAAGAAAAAAAACCCTCCACAGTGTGAATTATCTGTGCCATAGTTCCCTGCTGCTAACATCTTTTTTTTTAATGTTGATATAAGTTTTTGTGATGCAGACATGACACAGGCTTTTTGCTCTAAAGGATCAGATGGTCTCCAGTCCTTCCTCTGGACAGAGGGAGAGGAGAACTCTTAGAAATTCACAGCCCTTCACACACCTTGCACCTAAGCCCTGAGCAGAGGCAAGAGGCTGAGCTCCAAGCCCAGCCTTTGTCCTGAGGAACTGGCCATGCTGCTGAGCATCACCCGGGACAGGACTGGCCCTTCCCTCTGCAGACGTTGCGCTCTCCAAAATCTCTCCTGTCCTTGTGCACACCAGTGCCTGCACACACACCATGGCACTTGTGTCCTCCTGAAGACATAGCATAAGATGGGTAGCTTTTCCAAACACATCATTGGGTCAGGGCTCCAATTAGCATTACTGAACTCCAGAGGAATTTAAACAGAGAAGTCCATTATGAAATATTGTGCAATTAAACTGCAGTCTGTATCATTTAACTGTAGCAGATACCTTCTATTAAACTGTTCATGTTGGAGTTGAAGCATGTTTCAATCCAAAGGTGCTAATTATTCCGATTGAAAGGTACTACTTTTTCTATAGGATGTGCTGAACTGCACTAATACATCAGTGAACACAAAATAAACTACAAGAGCTTGTGTTTCTGGTGGCTATACTGCTTTTTCTTTGTAGTTCTCTATTATTCCTCCATTTGTGAGCTGATGGCTGTGTCATTTGTTTAGTTAGTACCATCAGTGGGTTTAGGTTGTATATTTGTTACCCTCCCTCCTGAGGTAAACCTGATACCTGGAGAAGTACAACTCAACGGGGATTGTGTGAGATATTGTTCTGATGTAACATGACAGCACTTTTGTCTGTGACATGGAAATTTTCATCACTGGATAATCATGCTTGTTCTAAAATACAGGCTGTCTCCTTTGATTAATTAAAAAAAATGTCCTTATTTCAAAGAAGAGGATGCCTTCATAAATGTGGGCTTCTGTATTAGAGGAGGAAGAATAGAACACCGGTCAGTGGGAATGAAGGTCTCTGCTGAAACTCCTGGCCTTGGTGGTCCAGACTAAGCATATCACCATGAATGGTCTTTGGTACCAGGTGTGGTTTATGTCCTGGGAACAAGAAAGTGTGTGTGTGTGTGTCCTGGAAAATTTGTTCTGAAAAGCTTTAACTGGTCCATCTGAAAGTCTTTTGAAGTCAGTGTCATATCCCCAGTATTCCACATGATAATGCCAAGGCAAAGCCAAAAACTGGAAAAGCAGATATCAGCCTTTCCCAGTTTCCAACTATTTTAGCTATCTGACATTTAGATGTGTTTTCTGTGTTTTCAGTGGGTTTATCTTTCATTTATTTCTCTATCCTAGTACTCTTGTAATGTTAGCACTTGCAGCATTTTTGGCAGTGAGATCCACAGGTCTATTTCCTAAGTAGCACATAATTTTGTTTGTTTTATATAAATAGGAGTTGACATAGGACATAAATAACTGTGCCAAGTTGCTTCAAAGTGACTCTTTTCTGCAGTCTGTCCATCTTTAACTCCTGTTCAGGTCAGAGCTGCCTTCTTGGAGCCACATTTCTCCTCAGCACACATGGTCATCAAAGGAAGAGGTCTGAATATGAATCTTAGCACTGCATGACATCACTTGGAGTTCACACATCTACCCTGACCTGTCTTATTTCTAAGCTGTCTGTGTTTACTTGCTTACTGTACAATAGTTGTACAGCTGAAAAGAGAAGTAAAAATTTCCCATTTTTATAGTAAATAATACGAAAATGTCACTTTGAAAAACACCTCCTCACATATTGGTGACTGACGGTACAAGCTTTATCTTGCTGTAGTTTGTTTTCGTACGCTGCTTATCACTACACTGTCTAAACCTCTCACAATGCATCATCACAACTGCTTTCTAGGGAAGGATCATTTTTCTTGTATGGAGGAAGAGCTGAGGCATTAGAGGTCTGGTTTAGCACCTGGGAAAGCTGATGACAAACCTGTTTTCTAAAGGTCAAGCCAGGAGTCTGTGGCAGAGCTGAGAACAGAGTAACAGCTCAATAACTCCCAGACCATTTTTCTCCCTCTTTTTTAATATCTCTTCAGGTTTTATTGAGTGTTTTCACTTGTCAAAATTCACTCATTCATCTACATCTCTAGGATGATATATTATTAAAATATTTTGGCACCTGATATGTAATTTCGGCTTAGTATTTGCAATCAGTTAGAAAGTGCACTTTCCAAAATGATAGATCAGTGGGTGAAGGAGCAGTGATTCATTTTCTGTGGGGATATAATGCATTGGTAATATCAGACTGTTATTTTCTTTTCTTGAAGTAGAGCTAGTACAGTAAGCTGCTGTATTTTGCAACTGCTTATATAGCCTAAGTTCGTTACAAGTTTTCTCCATTGATAAGTAATCCCCTAATAATCTGTTTTTCTGTGACAACATGAAATTACATTGAAACTCAATGTAAAATTGAGTTTTATATGTGACCAAGAAATGTCATATAGTAGTTTTCCTCTCATTCTTATTTTAACTCTTATTTTGGATGGAGCTTTGAGCAACCTCCTGATCTAGTTGAAGATGTTGCAGGGGGCTTGGGCTAGATGAACTTTAAAGGTCCCTTCTAACGCAAATTATTCCATGATTCTATGATTTTGGTTTTGAAAACAACAGAGAAAGGTATATTCTCAAGATGCTTATTTTGGCTTATTTTCTCTGCAGAGCAATCAACTTATTTTGTCTAGGATACTGAATGAGATGTCATTTTTAAAATGTCATGATGTTCCCCCCAAATAGCCTGCAAGACTATTGTGAATTTATTTATTTATTTATTTATTCCCCCCCCCCGATTCAATTGAATAATTAATTATTGTATTTATATTTAGTGATAAAAAATTTAGTAGCATAGACATATTTCTGAATTCCTTTTAAAAACTGGATACAGTTTCAGAGGAGTGCAAATGATGCGGGATGTGAGCAAGGATGATGGATTCCTGGAAGAACATTGCTAAAACAGTCATGAGAAATACTCAGAACTAGGAACAATAGCAATCCTGGACAGTAGAGCAATTCTTGCTGTTGAATGGGACTGTGGATTTAGATGATATTACCTATGTATTTTCAAATGAGTGTAAGAGTAGGACAGAACTAATTTAACCCAAACTACATTTATGGTAATTTTTTGTGCTAAAATCCAGGCAGAGTGAATCCTGAACAAAAATTGTTCTAATGAAGAAAATCAGTGTTTACCAAGAATTACTGCCTTCTGAAATGTGATAGATCACAGACATTGCCTGAAATGTAATAGTGAAACAAAGATCCTGATTCCAGATTTCCTAATGAGGGGCTTTTCATTCAATTCAAAGAATTTGGGGTCTGGTCAACAATTATCTTTTCTAAACACATTTTGTCAACCAGCCTGGCACAGATGGGTCTCTTAACTGCTACCACTGTTCTTGGAGAGATGCTGGCCCCTATGTTTATATAACTCAGCCATAGCAACTGCCAACAACTGAACCACAATGGTTTTGTATTTTCCAATCTCATAGTAAATTAGCACTGAATTCTTTTGCCATTAAATCATGCAACCCACTACAGATATTTACTATTAAACTGCAAAACTGTTCACTAATCAATCAATTGCATAAAAGCCTCAAACAGAGCAAATAAATTGTTCAGCTGAAGCTATTAGAAAATCTATTACAGCGGGAAATTAATTTCAGTACTTCAGGTAATTTAATTAGGTGAGTAATTCATGGTGTTTAGGCTGATTTTAAAATACTGATCTGAGGATTGAATCTCTAGGTCCATATATTTTATTTCCATCATTCTTTACTTTTTCCAGGTCCTCAAATTCCAAATTTATTTTCATGGTAAGTCTCATTTAGCTTTGAGACAGACTACAAAGTGTAAGTCTTGCATAAATTATTTTTCTGTTTATCCCATAGAGGTTTAAGTTCTTGGGCTGAACAATCAAGATTTTTCTGATTTGCTCTATAACTAAAAGTTAATTTTTCACTTCTTTTGTTCTAAGGTCCCCATAAAATAGGTCACGGCTGAAACAGAGTGTCATTTAACAGCAAGCCATTCTTGGAGGATCAAATAGGAACAGTGACAAACTTCCAGATGAACATCCCCCCAGATAGAATGGTTGGCATCCTAAATTTTCCCCTCTTAGCATTTAACATGTTGATAACAGGAACTCTGTTCTCTGTCAGGTCAGCTTGGGCTGAGGCTGCATTCATCTAAGTAATGCAGCA